GACCGGTTTCGTGCTGAGCACCCTACTGTCACGCGTCTACTAGCCACTGTTGTCACTGACCCGTCGTTTGAGTCTACTGCTGCGTCTGCTCTTGTCGCTGAGCTTGTTGACTTTGCTGCTGCGTGTCGTCTAGACTTCGCTGCCAGTCTTGTTGCTGAGTCTGAGTCTGTCTGTCCTCCGTCCGTCGGGGGTGAGTGTGCTCTTAGCACGGACGTCCTTGAGGACAGGCACGAGGACCTTGAGTGTCTTGCAGCCGCTGCGCCTCATCTCGTTGCCATGCTGCTTGCCCCTGAGGGAGACCCGGATGCACCAGACATCCCGACCCCGCGCTCTTACGCTGAGGCGATCGCGGGTGAGTACTCCTCTCAGTGGCAGACAGCCATGGACGCAGAGATGGCCTCCTGGAAGTCCACTGGCACTTACGTCGACGAGGTTCCCCCACCTGGGGCAAACATCGTCAGTGGCATGTGGATTTTCAGGGTGAAGCGGCCGCCAGGTTCTCCGCCTGTCTTCAAGGCTCGTTATGTTGCTCGAGGCTTCAGTCAGCGAGAGGGAGTTGACTTCTTCCAGACCTTCTCCCCCACCCCGAAGATGACCACTCTTCGGGTGCTGCTGCACGTTGCTGCTCACCGTGACTACGAGCTTCACTCTCTTGACTTCAGCACAGCCTTCTTGCAGGGTAGCCTGCACGAGGAGATCTGGCTGCGCCGCCCCCCGGGCTTCACTGGGTCGTTCCCTCCTGGTACCCAGTGGAGCCTCCGGCGGCCGGTCTACGGTCTCCGCCAGGCGCCACGTGAGTGGCACGACACACTGAGGACTACGCTTGCGGCTCTTGGGTTCGCGCCTTCTACTGCTGACCCGTCGCTGTTTCTGCGCACCGACACTTCACTGCCGCCGTTCTACATCCTCGTGTACGTCGACGACTTGGTTTTTGCCACTGCTGACACTGAGGCTCTCGCCCACGTGAAGTCGGAGCTGCAAAAGAGACACACGTGCACAGACTTGGGTGAGCTGCGCAGCTACCTTGGCTTGCAGATCACCCGGGACAGAGCACGCCGCACCATCACCTTGACTCAGTCACACATGGTGCAGCAGGTCCTTCAGCGCTTCGGCTTCACCTGGTCTTCAGCACAGGCCACTCCTCTGGCTACAGGTCACACGCTCTCAGCTCCACCTTCGGACGAGTCCGTAGAGCCGAGTGGTCCTTACCCAGAGCTAGTCGGCTGCCTCATGTACCTGATGACTTGCACTCGACCTGACCTCGCGTACCCTCTTGGTCTTCTGGCTCGCTACGTGGCTCCTGGTCGGCACCGACCTGAGCACATGGCTGCTGCTAAGAGGGTACTGCGCTACTTGTGCAGCACATCAGGCATGGGGCTAGTGCTTGGAGGGACGAGCCCAGTTGTCCTCACTGGGCACTCAGACGCTTCTTGGGTTGACGACCAGGCTACTCAGCGGTCGTCACAGGGTTACACCTTCAGCCTTGGCTCTGGTTCAGTTTCGTGGCGTTCTACACGCTCGTCTTCAGTTCTCAGCTCCAGTTGTGAGGCTGAGATCTACGCCGCAGCCATGGCTGCACAGGAGTTACGCTGGCTCACCTACCAGTTGACTGACTTGGGAGAGCAGCCTCGTTCTCCTCCAGTGCTGTACGTCGACAACAAGGCCGCCATTGCCTTGTGTGAGGAGCACAGACTGGAGCACAGAACGAAGCACATTGTTCTGCGTTACTTCCTGGCTCGAGAGTTGCAGCAGCGAGGCCAGCTTCGTCTTCGCCACGTGGCCACTCGGGCCAACACTGCTGATATATTCACCAAGGCACTTCCGTCTGGTGATCATCAGTGCTTTTGTACTCTGTTGGGCCTTGTGCCTACGTTTCCACACTTGCTGTAGTCTCTGCTTGTACTGTGATCTATATATACATGCATGCTGGCTCTTGCTAGGTAGCCATCACTGTACTGTTATTGCTGCATATATATCTCTGCATGTGAACTGGCCCTGTGGCCCTTTGCTTGTGCTCGGAATGCGTGGTGACGTTGTGATCCACCCTGAGCTTGTTTTGCTTCTCTTGACTGGTCGTGTGACCCCTTGTTCTCCCCCACTTCGCCTATGGGGGTGTGTCAAACTTGTCAGAATCCCAGTCACTAACCACTGGGATAAAAGGGCTTATTTGTGTAGCGGGTGAGTGCGCCCATAACCCCCCAGGCCGCCGTGCCTGTAACCCTTCCCTAGGATCAATCGGGGATCACCAGTGGACCTCTGACACCCCCCCGCACTGGGATGCCCGAGGTGCACACACCGGGATTCGAACCCGAGACCTTTGCTCTGATACCATGTCAGAATCCCAGTCACTAACCACTGGGATAAAAGGGCTTGTTTAAGTAGCGGGTGAGTGCGCCCATAACCCCCAGGCCGACATGCTTGTAACCCTTCCCTAGGATCATCGGGGATCTCCAGTGGACCTCTGACACCCCCCCGACCGACATGCCTGTAACCCTTCCCGAGGATCAATCGGGGATCACCAGTGGACCTCTGACACCCCCCCGCACTGGGATGCCCGAAGTGCACACACCGGGATTCGAACCCGAGACCTTTGCTCTGATACCATGTCAGAATCCCAGTCACTAACCACTGGGATAAAAGGGCTTATTTGTGTAGCGGGTGAGTGCGCCCATAACCCCCCAGGCCGCCGTGCCTGTAACCCTTCCCTAGGATCAATCGGGGATCACCAGTGGACCTCTGACAAAACTATATGTGCTGCATATTGTCTAGGCTGTAGTGGGGTAGCCCATATGGGGTACAACCCAACTAGGATTAACTACTTGTACTCCTGCATCCTGTTAGTTCATTCATTCCTGCTGCTAGATTCTGACAATAAATTCACCAAGGCACTTCCGTCTGGTGATCATCAGTGTTTCTGTACTGCTTTAGGCCTTGTGCCTGCTTTGTCTCACTTGCTCACTGCGTGACTTTGCTTGTACTGTGATCTATACATATGCTTGCATGGTTACTCTTGCTAGCTTATGATCACTGTACTATTTGCTCTCTTATATATAGCGCTGCATGTGAACTGGCCTTATGGCCATTTGCTTGTGCTTAGAATGTGTGGTGACTTCGTGATCCACCCTGAGCTTGCTTTGCTTTGTTGCTTCTCTTGACTGGTCTTGTGACCATTGCTTGCTCTGGCTATCCCCCACTTTGCCTATGGGGGTGTGTCAAATTATATATGTTTATCTTTCTTCTAGGCTGTAGTGGGCCTAGCCTTAGGGGGTACACGTACTTTCTCGACACTCTCTTGTACCACCCTTGCTTTACCTAATCTCATTCCCCTAATCTCTCTCGACATATAGTTGTTAAACTGTATTATGCTTGTAGGCTGTAGTGGGGTAGCCAATATGGGGTACAATCCCAACTAGGGTTTCATATTTGTACCCAAACTTCTGCTAGTTCATTTATTCTTGCCTAGTGATTCTGACAATAGTACCCTCCCGAAATAAGGACCCCCGGGACTTCGGGTACTGGGACTCTTAATATGTGCCAAAAGTGAGAGGACCCCCCCTTTGCCTATAATCATTTTAAGACTCCCCTTTTCTGTGTACAGCAGTTAAAAATGAACATGCGCGTCACCTTTAGAGGCACAGAATCCGATTTTTGACACGTCATTTGTGTCAGACTCGAGTTCTAACACACCAATCGCGTCGGATACAAGATCTGACACTTCTGACGCGCCGCCCGCGCGAATTTCGTGTACGCGGGGTGATTTTCGATTCGAACATAAGGGCGTGTTAAATCGGAAACTCCAAAAAATCTGCCACAATCCGTCGGGCCGTTTTTGCGAAGGTAACCAGTTCGCGACAATCGTAAGTCAACAGGCGACCGTCGCCAAATTCCCAAAGAAATTACGAATTTGATGGCCGTTTAAAAAGTCGACACGAAAACGACGCCGAGTCGACTCCAAAACGGCCGAGTAGTCGATACAGTGTACGACAAACGACTGCGACGTCGCATGGTTTCCCCCAACGACAGAATTTGTGATCACGTCAAATGGGAAATATCGTCGTCAAAAGTGCGCCCCCATCGCACATTACTAAACTCTGTAGTAACTGCAATTTTAACAACTTGTCTGAACCGGCCTACAAATCGGCCATCAAAATTGTACAATCGCCAAAACTGTAAATTTTGGCTGTAAAAGAGTCGACTCTGAATCGGCCACTTCGTCGTTGTTCGCGAAAAATATGACGACCATTTGGTCCTCGAAAATTCGGCCACACCCCATTTTCGGAATTGTGTGGCGATTTAACACGCCCTAAGAATCCCTCCCCCCCCCCCCCCCCCCCCCCCCCCCCCCCCCCTTCCCCCCTTCCCCTCAACCCCCCCTCGAATTCAAGTGTACACCCCTAAATCGCATAAATGTACTTGATTATTAAGTGTGCCTAGGATTCTTACAACTCGTGCCAAGTAATTGTTCACCCTAGCCATTTTGCCACTATTTTAGGAAAGTCCTCCCGGGTCATATCCGAGAGAATACGGTAGGTAGCGGGTCAGTGCGACCATAACCCCCCAAGTCAGTGAGCCTTTTATCGTTGCCTTGGATCAATCGGGCATCACCATTGCTGATCTTCTAACATTGCCTCTAGTATAGATTGATGTAGCGTTATCATGCTCTCTTGCTTGTATTTCTTGATCTCGACCCTAATCCAAGACCCTTTTTTGCTCTTTCTCGTTTCTATACCTTTTAGAATCCAGGGGAATATGGTATCGTAAAACAGAACCTGAATACCGGTATACGCGGTAAAGCAAGCACCCGCAAAGATAACAGTCGGCCTTAGACTTTCATTCTAATAATACTTGATGTTTTCCCGGCACCCCCAGGGGGTTTTGTTCTCGCGCCCCATCCTACACGTCATTGCTTTTGTCTCTTCAAGCCCTCCGCCTTGCCTGTCCCCAGCCCTGCCTTGCCTGTCCCCGGGCCTGTCTTGTGTGCACCCTGCCCCATCTTGCGCTTAAGACTCTTCACAACCACATTTAGCTCCGCTCTTCTACTAGTCCCACCCTTCCCCTCCACCCCTTCCCCAGCTCCCCGTCCTCTTCCCAGCCCCCGTCCACCCGCCTCTCCATCGCTCGCAGCACCCTTGCCACTGCTGCCACCACCCGCTGCTTCCCCGCCCGCTGCTGCGCTTGGCACGCGGCGGCGCTGCTTCTCGGCTATCAGGCGCTGCGGGGCTGACGACCTGGTGGGAGGGGCAGGCAGGCAATGGGATGGGGGGGATGGGATGGCATGGAGTGGCAGGGAGGCAATGGGATGGCATGGAGTGGCAGGGATGGAATGAGACGGCAGCGCTGGGGTGGGAGGGAGGGCTCACTTGAGGAAGCGCGGGTCGGTGGGGTCGATGGCGAAGTGCGGAGAGGTGAAGAGAGCAGCGAAGCGCGGGTCATTCACGTCCACGCCCACACCGCGCCCCGCCTCCGCCCCCACCTGTGACACACTCCTCCCCTCCCTTCCGCCCCTCCCCACCTTGCCCCCACCACCCACGGGCCGCGCTCTTCCTCCCTCCCTGTCAGCCTCCTCCTCCCCCGCTGCGCCATGCGCGCCCCTCGCCCCCTTGCCCTGCGCGCGGCGCTGCTCCCTGGCCTTGCGCGCGTCCGCCTTGAGGTTGAACCCCTTCATCCCTGCGCCCTCGCCCCCCTCCATCAGCAGAAGCTCCAGCTCCGCCCGTCGCCTCTCCTCCTCTGCCCTCTCCCGCTCCCGCTCCACCCTCTTCCTCTCTCGCTCCTCTGCCTTCCTCTCATACTCGCTCCTCCCTGCCTTCACTCCCTTCACCCCTCCAGCCCCGCCTTTGCCACTCGTGGCCGGGCCAGCAGCAGCAGGGCGGGCATCAGCGGAGGCAAAGAAGGGGTCGGCGAAGGGGTCCTCACCGGCGGGGAGAGCGAAGAACGGGTCGTCCTCCTGCTGCACGCGCCTGCTGTCGTACAGATCGTCGTCGCTTCCTCCCGCCTCCTCCGCACTCGCCCCTGCGTCCTGTCCGGCCGCCTTGCTCGCCTGGGCCAGGCGGCGGCGCTCCTTGCGGCGTTCCCGGCGCTGGCGCTGGTACGCCTCAAACACCGTCTCGCTGCCCCCGCGCTGCTGCTCGCTGCGCCGCCGCGCCAGCTTGTCACTCAGCGCCGCCAGCCCCGTGGAGAACGTCACCTCCATGTCGCCCTCCACGCCTGACCACCCCCCCTCCGACTCCTCTCCTTCTGCCTCTCCCGGTCTCCCTTTCCCCTTCTTCCTCCCCTTGCCCTCGCCGTCCCCCGCCAGTCCTTTCAACAGCATCCTCAGCTTCTCTCTTGTCCCTCTGCCCTTCTTCTTCCCCTCCTCCTTCCTGCTACCGTTCTCCTTTCTCTCTTCCTCCTCGTCCTGCTCCTCCACTTGCTCCTCTTCCCCCTCCTCCTCCTCGTCCTCGCCCGAGGACGAGGCAAGGTAGTCGCGGAAGTCCAGATCCGCCACCTGCACACGGCAGCGCACAGGGCAGCGCACAGGGCAGCGCACCGGACACAAGGGTACATGCCCAGCCCGCAGGAGAAAGGGGGGAAGGGTGGAGGTTGAGAAGAGGAGGAGCAACGGAGGAAAGGGTGTTCAGGGAAAAAAAGGGCGGAAGTGAGAGGGGAGGAGGAGTGGCACACCCCGTGACACCAGACGGGGCTCACCTGGTCGGCAGCGAACTTGCGGCGCAGCGCTCGCACGCGCGTGGGGTCGTCCTCGTCCCACGTGAGCTTCACCGTGCTGTGCTGCAGCACCCGCGTCGTGAACACCGGTGCCTCGTAGTCCCCCGGCACCTGCAGGCGTGAGAGTGTGGGTGTGCTGCAATCAGCAATTAGAGAACGTTCACCTCATCAGCCACGCTCGCTGTCCTTGTCCTTGGTACCATTCATCCGCAAGTGAGCATGCATTCCACCTTCGCTACCAACATGATGGGATGCCTTCCACATTGTTTCCATGCGGCGTTGGGAAGCTGCGAGACGGCGAGTGCAGCTGCGAGACGGCGAGTGCAGCTGCGAGCCAACCGCCACTCCCTCCGCACTCGCCTGCCCTAGTGGGATGCCATGCCTTCACGGCTGATGGCCGTGGTAAGCAGAGGGGGGTACGGAAGGCATTGGACATGTGTTGGGTGCGTTCGCTGGCGGGCAGCGCGAGTCCACGCATGACCACAGCGGCCATGACCACAGCGGCCATGACCACAGCGGCCATGACCACAGCGGCCATGACCACAGCGGCCATGACCACAGCGGCCATGGCTCTGGATGTGGCCTGGTGCTTTCCCAGCATACAATACGCACGGGTGGCCTGGCACCTGGGAGCAGGAGTCGCGGGGCTGGCGGTCGTTGAAGGTCATGGTGTCGGGGATGAAGCGCAGGTCCAGCTGGTTGGCGCTGTTCTCAAACTCCATGCCGTCACACTCCCCATACACGTGCGCCGCCGTGCCCGCACTGTCACACTCCACCACCGCGTAGTAGTACCTGCACCGCCACACCGGGGGTGGGGGGGAGGACATGGGGAGGGGGGGGAGAAGGGTTGGGCACTCAAACCTCCAACTGGCGCGCAGAGGGTGTTGACAAGTAACGTGTGGGATATGGAGGATAGGTCGCTGTGCAATGCGGCGAGGCGGCGTGGAGAAGAGCACTGACCTGAGCTTGGCCTTCTCGTACTGACCTGAGCTTGGCCTTCTCGTACTGACCTGAGCTTGGCCTTCTCGTACTGACCTGAGCTTGGCCTTCTCGTACTGACCTGAGCTTGGCCTTCTCGTACTGACCTGAGCTTGGCCTTCTCGTACTGACCTGAGCTTGGCCTTCTCGTACTGACCTGAGCTTGGCCTTCTCGCACTGACCTGAGCTTGGCCTTCTCGTACTCCCTCAGCCTCTCCGCATCCACGCCCTCGCCCTCCTCACTGCTCTCCCCTTCCTCCCCCTCCTCGCCACCCTCACCTCCCGGCACCTGAGCCCCCCCGCCTGTCTTCCCCCTTGCCCCCCTGCCCGCCGGGAAGAGCCCCTGAGGGCCGTGCTGGAGCTCGGCGTGCATTTGCTGGCGGCCGAAGTCAGAGGGGTACACGGTGACAGCTGTGATGCGCCCGCCGGGCGGCACGAACGAGCGCAGCACCACCAGGATATCCACCGCCTGCCGTGGGGGGAAGAGGGGGGGGAGAGGAGGATGAGCAGGAGGGAACGGAACGAAATGGCGAGCCGAGATGTGAGCACGGCGGGGCAGGAGAGAGATGGGAGTAATCGTGCAGTAAGAGGGAGCACGAGAGTAGGCCTGCTTCTGCCGTTGCATTTCTCACCCGCACGTCGCGCCTCTCTCCCCACTTCTCACCCACGCGTTGTCCCTCTCACCTGCGTGTTATCCCTCTCACCTGCGTGTTATCCCTCTCACCTGCGTGTCATCCCTCTCACCTGCGTGTTATCCCTCTCCTCTCATCTCACCCGCACGTCATCCCTCCTCTCACCCGCACGTTGTCCCATCTCACCCGCACGTTGTCCCATCTCACCCGCACGTTGTCCCATCTCACCCGCACGTTGTCCCATCTCACCCGCACGTTATCCCATCTCACCCGCACGTTATCCCATCTCACCCGCACGTTATCCCATCTCACCCGCACGTTGTCCGATCTCACCCGCACGTTGTCCCATCTCACCCGCACGTTGTCCCATCTCACCCGCACGTTATCCCATCTCACCCGCACGTTATCCCATCTCACCCGCACGTTGTCCCATCTCACCCGCACGTTGTCCCATCTCACCCGCACGTTATCCCATCTCACCCGCACGTTATCCCATCTCACCCGCACGTTGTCCGATCTCACCCGCACGTTGTCCCATCTCACCCGCACGTTATCCCATCTCACCCGCACGTTATCCCATCTCACCCGCACGTTGTCCCATCTCACCCGCACGTTGTCCCATCTCACCCGCACGTTGTCCCATCTCACCCGCACGTTGTCCCATCTCACCCGCACGTTGTCCCATCTCACCCGCACGTTATCCCATCTCACCCGCACGTTGTCCCATCTCACCCGCACGTTGTCCCATCTCACCCGCACGTTGTCCCATCTCACCCGCACGTTATCCCATCTCACCCGCACGTTATCCCATCTCACCCGCACGTTGTCCCATCTCACCCGCACGTTGTCCCATCTCACCCGCACGTTGTCCCATCTCACCCGCACGTTATCCCTCTCATCTCACCCGCACGTTATCCCATCTCACCCGCACGTTATCCCATCTCACCCGCACGTTGTCCCATCTCACCCGCACGTTGTCCCATCTCACCCGCACGTTGTCCCATCTCACCCGCACGTTGTCCCATCTCACCCGCACGTTGTCCCATCTCACCCGCACGTTGTCCCATCTCACCCGCACGTTGTCCCATCTCACCCGCACGTTGTCCCATCTCACCCGCACGTTGTCCCATCTCACCCGCACGTTGTTCCATCTCACCCGCACGTTGTCCCATCTCACCCGCACGTTGTCCCATCTCACCCGCACGTTGTCCCATCTCACCCGCACGTTGTCCCATCTCACCCGCACGTTGTCCCATCTCACCCGCACGTTGTCCCATCTCACCCGCACGTTGTCCCATCTCACCCGCACGTTGTCCCATCTCACCCGCACGTTGTCCCATCTCACCCGCACGTTGTCCCATCTCACCCGCACGTTGTCCCATCTCACCCGCACGTTGTCCCATCTCACCCGCACGTTGTTCCATCTCACCCGCACGTTGTCCCATCTCACCCGCACGTTGTCCCATCTCACCCGCACGTTGTCCCATCTCACCCGCACGTTGTCCCATCTCACCCGCACGTTGTCCCATCTCACCCGCACGTTGTCCCATCTCACCCGCACGTTGTCCCATCTCACCCGCACGTTGTCCCATCTCACCCGCACGTTGTCCCATCTCACCCGCACGTTGTCCCATCTCACCCGCACGTTGTTCCATCTCACCCGCACGTTGTCCCATCTCACCCGCACGTTGTCCCATCTCACCCGCACGTTGTCCCATCTCACCCGCACGTTGTCCCATCTCACCCGCACGTTGTCCCATCTCACCCGCACGTTGTCCCATCTCACCCGCACGTTGTCCCAGTCCATGTTGACGAGCGCCAGGCGCCGCGTGGCGTCCTCCACCGCCTCCACTCGCTCCTCCGCCCGCTGCCCCCCCACCCACCGCACCGCGCACCAATGGCGCACCACAGGCATGTAGGGCAGCGAGGGAGAGAGGAAAGGGTGGAGAAAAGATGAGCGGGGAGTGGGGGGGCAACGCGAGCAGCGTGTGGTGGTGGTCGGATAGTGGAACGGCGTGAACAGAGGGGTGAACGGGCAGAGGGGTGAACGGGCAGAGGGGTGAACAGGGGAAAGGCGAGCAGAGAGGGGTGGGAGTAAAGCTAGCACCTGTGGGGTGGATGCCTCTTCATCACCCTCACTGTCCGAGGCTGATGATGATGATGACGAGGAGGATGAAGAGGACGAGGAGGACGAGGAGGACGAGGACGACGAGGAGTCATCTGAGCCCGCCTTCTCCTCTTCTTCCTCACTCTCATGTACCTCACCCTCCTCCTTCTCCTCCTCCTCCTCCTCCTCCTCCTCCTCCTCCTCCTCCTCCTCCTCCTCCTCCTCCTCCTCCTCCTCCTCCTCTTGAACCCTTGCCACATCCTTTCTCTCCCTACTTCCCTCATTCTCCTCCCCCTCATCCCTCTCCCCCTCTTCTCTTTCGTCCCCCTCCTCCCCCGCCCCCGCCCCCCCCTCATCAACGCGGTAGTACCGCTTCAGGTCGGCCGCGCGCGGTGCCTGGCGCCGCCGTCCGCGCTTGTCCACGGGGGCGGCGTCGCCGAACTGCCCGTCGCGGAACATGCCGGCGAACCGCGCGTCCACCGCCACGCGCGTCTCGCGCACCGCCACGCGCTGGGGGGGCAACGCACGGGTGGCGACGAGTCCAGGGGTTACATGTTGATGATTAAACTCGGGGGTTGAGGGTTCAGGGTTTAATGGTTTGGGAGCACTTGGGTATAGTAGCTCTGGACAGTGTCGGGGATGCGGGAAAGAATCGGAGCTGCAAATGCGTTGTGGTTGTGTGGGACGAGGAGACGGGCAGATAGAGCAGACGTGGCGACCCGCGGACGAACGGGGCGGACAGAGGGCGCAGGGGACTCGGACGACGGGCGGGCTGGGGACAGCTCATGGGGACACGGGAACGCGGGGAGAGGCGGATTGGCTTTGCGCGACAGCGTGCGGGGGGGGGAACGGAATTTGCAGGAAGGGCGGGGGAATGCAAGGGGAGAGGCATGAGACTCGAAGGGCATGGCAGGCAGGTGAGGCGCGTGGCGTGCTCGAGGGACTGGGCTGCAGCAAAGGTGGCGCGCAGGCGACAGCAGCGCGACCTTCAACCATCGCCTCTCCACGCCCACCGCGAAACGCGCGTCGAGCAGCCAGAGCGGTTTCTGTCGAAGCTCACCGCGAAGCGCGGGTCCGAGTGGAGCGCGGCGAACCGCGAGTCAGAAATGACGGTTGGCGGCATCTGCGGCCCGCTGGGATCGCCCCGCCCGCCACCAGCGCGAGGCGCCTTCGCTCCCCGCTTCGCCGCCTTCATTGCTCCGTCGCGCTGCACTGCCACGCGAGGAAAATGGCGTCGCGCGCTAAACGTCTAATACGATCTCGAACGAATATCCAATTGAGCAAAAAAATGAGAAAGCCTGGTGACACGGCAAACTAACGACAAGGGGTTCTGGATTTAGGGGTTTGGAGACTGTGATGGGGCGTGGGGAAATTGTTAGGGAAATGCAAGAATGGTCGAGTGCTACGGTAACAGTTTCATCGTGGTGAGGCGATCAACACCAACCCCTAACGAACCTGTAGGAACCCTCTTGGAATCTAGGGAACTTGAGTGACTACGTCCCCTGCACGCGGCTCCTAGTGCGTAGGCGGCTGCGCGTGTGCGTGGAGCTGCTGCTGCGCACGTCTTCTCGTGAGGGCGACGTGCGTGGGGCTGCGCGCGCGAGCGTCAGGGCAGGACGCAGCAAGGGACGGGGCGGAGCACGGGTAGGGTGCGCAGCGGCGCGCGGCGGCGGTTTCAGTGCGCGCGACGGCGGCTGGGAAGGGAAGGCGACGGGAAGAAAAGGCGTGGTACACCTGATGCCTGTTTGAGCCCCTCCCGGTTGCCTTACGAAGGGGGCGTATAAGCTGTCACGAGCATTTCGTCAATTCGCAGCTAGCTAAAAAGGATTCGCATGTGCTTATAAACAAGATCTGTAACCTAGTTTGACTTCAGTCTCTTCTGCTTGACTTCGGTCTGTACCTAGTTTGACTTTGGTCTGTTCGTTACTATTGGTTGATAACCACGCGACGCGCTTGTAATGTAGGTGCATAAGGCTGGGGAAACGACCTCGGGTGCAGCGTATCCATCCGGCGCAAGGCAAATTCGCGTGCATGGGGTGAGCATCAGCTGTATTGGGGGTGCGATACCGTGGAGGCCAATGCGCGGGAAGCAGTGGGCGAGGCGGGTGTGATACCAGGTGAGATTCGTCGTCTGGGTTTGTCGCATGGGGTGTCAAACCTGAACCTGTAACCCTGGTTTCTGTGGTATGTCAACAGGTTAGGGAAGCAGGTTTGGTGTTGTGGGTACAGTGTTCAGGTTTCGCCCAAATCACCCCTCCACTCGTGCAAAGTTTCGCTGCTCGTGCACCAATCCCAGGTGCCAACTGCCAACCAAGGGTAACACGGTAGGAATTATGAGACGGGGATTTTGACGAGGACGAACTGCCAAGAACACTCCCCTCGAGAGTTTCCCCCCCCTCTCCCACTTCCCACCCAGGCTTGCTTTCGTGCTTCCCGCCATTTTGACGGAGCGCGGACTTCCCAGTGCTCCTGGTTGCTGGATCAGCAAGGGAGGCCGAAATTGTGTAACCTAGCAAGGGGCGACGATAGTAGACGTCCGAGGAGCTGCCCTTGGCTGGGACTGTACGCCATATTGAATCGCGTGTTATTGCCGATCTGCTGAGTGCTATCGCTGGGGTTTGCGCTTTTCACCCCGAGTTGTCGTCTAACAGGCTGAGTTCAGGCATCCAGCAATCTGAAGGCCCTTCAGATAGTTTCCGGGAAACGGGATAGAAACTGTTCCAAACTATATATTTCCCCACATCACACTGAAGCAGTCCAACAGCTAGTTAACAACAGGCTGTAATCAATCGTTCGACGACAGAAATCAAGCGTTAGACGACAAAGAACGACGACAGCAAGCAGTCTTACGACGATGGCCGTGTCATCTCTGCCGGCAGCAGCAGCGCTAACAGCATTTCGGAATCGGTGCGTGCCTCTTGGGAGTGCGTGCCTCGTCGCAATGCGTAACGTACTATAGATCCGTGCTCATTATGCGCGACGTTCTGTTCGCGATGGTCGTCACTTGGAGTACGTCGCCACGCGTGTCGCATCGGCTTTATACACTGTCCTTCTGGGCACGGCTTTAACGACGCATGAAGGAGCCATGTTGGTATTGCTTTCAAGAAATCCTAACGGCGATACGGGGCTCTCTGATTGTTTGAGCTGAATGCTCGAGGTCCTTCCCATTTCCACCCATCCGGAACCCTCCAATTCCCATCCCCGCCGCTAACGTGCAGGTCGCCAGGCGAGAGGGAGCTGTCACCGAAACTCAAGGCGATTTTGGAGGTCACTGCCGTCACAGGCACCGTCTGGTGGGTGACGGGTTCTGTAGTTGGGTGATGGATTCCACTAGTTGGGTGACGGATTCCGTTTTGTGCGCGCTAAACCCTGACCAGACAATCGGTATCGAGAAGGAGCTGTCAACGGAGCTCATGGCCTTGACGCCACTGCCTTCTCAGGCACTGTTTAATGGGTAACGGATTCTGTCTTGTGGGTAGCGGATAGGTTTGTTGGATTCTGTCTTGTTGGATTCTGTTTGTTGAGTTTGTTGTTCTGTCTTGTTGGATTCTGTTTGTTGAGTTTGTTGTTCTGTCTTGTTGGATTCTGTTTGTTGAGTTTGTTGTTCTGTCTTGTTGTATTCTGTTTGTTGAGTTTGTTGTTCTGTCTTGTTGGATTCTGTTTGTTGAGTTTGTTGTTCTGTCTTGTTGTATTCTGTTTGTTGAGTTTGTTGTTCTGTCTTGTTGTATTCTGTTTGTTGAGTTTGTTGTTCTGTCTTGTTGTATTCTGTTTGTTGAGTTTGTTGTTCTGTCTTGTTGTATTCTGTTTGTTGAGTTTGTTGTTCTGTCTTGTTGTATTCTGTTTGTTGAGTTTGTTGTTCTGTCTTGTTGTATTCTGTTTGTTGAGTTTGTTGTTCTGTCTTGTTGTATTCTGTTTGTTGAGTTTGTTGTTCTGTCTTGTTGTATTCTGTTTGTTGAGTTTGTTGTTCTGTCTTGTTGTATTTTTAGGATTGTTGGATTGTTGGGTAATTCTTGGGGTGATTCAGTGGGAAACAGGTTATGGGTAATGCATTCAGTCATGTGGCTAATGAATTCTGCCTCATGGGTGACAGAGCTAGCTTGACGTTGACGGCCTTTTTGGAATGGCAGAACATTTTGTCAAAGGATGTGCTTAGGGGGGTAGTGGCTCTATGAGCTGAACATAATCCTCTCCGTTGGATCAACTATTCTTTTTTCGCCAAGTGCAACACTGGTTCTTGTGAAGGGGGAGGTGGGGGTGGGGGAGGGGGGAGGTGAAGCTTGCAGTTGAGCAACACTGGTTCTTTTTTTTTTTTGTCTTTGAATGCTCGCTCCCGGCTCTCATTCCCCTCCTCTTTGCCTCCGCCTTTTGCTGCCCCCATCCTTTTGCTTTCTCCCTATCCTCTTCTTTAAGTTTCATTTACACGCTGATACTCCTGCTGGATTGAATTCAATTTAAACCCTCTGTCCCATCCCATCCGTGTTTCTTTCCTGTGTTTCTCTCTGTGTCCATTTCCCTTCTTACTACTCCAGGCATGACTGGGAGAGCATGAGGGAGCTATTGGGATTCACCATCTCTCAGGTACACCTGAAGTTAGGGGTGAGCAACGGGACCAACACCTGTTCGCTTCGCCTCCAACGTGCTCGAGACCAACCGAACAGGTTTTTTTTTTCTGGCCTAAAGTGTTCGCCAAACAGTGCTTGAGGTTCGAACGTGTTCGGGCCTCTGCTGCAACTTGCCCCGCGACGAACACGAACGTGTTCGAGGTTCGCCCGAACACGCCTTCACAGGCGAACGGCGAACACCTGTTTTTGCTTAAGGTGTTCGGTTCGACAAACGGCTGTGTTCGTGTAGGGGTGAACACGAACACGTTCGTGTTCGCCCCTTGCTCATCCCTAGCTGGAGTGGGCTTTACTTATGGCCGTGTGCATGTATGATATACACATAATCTCTCAGGTATGTCAGCCTCTCATCCCTCATCCCCACTCATGAAACGTCCTACACCCCCCACCACCCCAACCCCCCCCCCCCCTCTCCGTCACCTTGCAACCTCGAGGTTTTTAAATGGTATAGAGTACCTTGCACAGCGCACCATTTTGAGTCATGTTAAACCACGTGCAGGGTGAGAATAATCTGTATATGCACACACAAGGTGGCGGAATCGGTCGTTTGTGCCTGCTTCAACTTTCTTGCCTCAGAAATTCAGGCATGCACTCTCTGTGTCGCTCCTCATCAGTGTTTCAGGTTTGGAGGAGTATGAGACAGAGCGTGTGGCAGGGGTGGGTCTGCCTCGTGCATCTTGCTTCGGCAGCGTCAATTCTCCCACCCTCCCCTGCCACCCGCCACCCCTCAGGTCCTGGAGGAGTATGAGACAGAGCGCGTGGCAGGGGTGGGTCCGCCTCACCCGCTGCCATCCGGGGAGACGTTTGCTGAGCTCAACGAGCGGATCCTCTCATGTATGTGTGCGCACTTTGGCCTGAGACGTCTCAAAACAACACTTATATCACGTTGCCATTCGGGGAGACATTTGCCGAGCTGGGCGAGCGCATCCTGTCCTGTACGTGTGCGCACTATGGCAACTTGAATCCTCTCACCACTCGCATTTCAGTGTCGTACTATCTCTGAAGGTCTTCACACGCCTTGCTGCTCGGTGTGGCCCAGTCTACGTGGCACAAGGCACACTGCCTTCAGGGGAGTCGTTTTCCGAGCTCAATGGGCGCATCCTCTTATCATGTATGCGTGTGCGCCCTTGCTCCCCTTGTGTACGCGAGGCTTTGACTTGGTAGTAGTACTACCACTGACATTCCATCCATCCACTATCACTACTTTGCTGCCAATGTTCTCTCAACTGTTGCTCGCCCAGTCTACGTGACTGAAGGCCCGCTGCCATCACAGTAGATGTTTGTTGCCTTCTCCCTTCTCCCTAGTCCCGCCCCTACTCCCTCCCCCTCTCCCCTCTCCATGTATTTCGTCCATCCGCACAGACAGACATTGACACATTCGAAGACGGGATGTGTGCTTGCGCCCTTCACATTCAGTGCATCGATGTGTGTCATCGTGCCCACCTTCTCTGCTTCGCTCTCCCCGGCTCCCCCCCTCTCCATTCCCCCACTTCTTAAACACAGACCTTGAGGCATTCAAGGACGGGCCACCCTTCACCATTCAGCGCATCTGTGAGGTGTGTGCTTGTACCGAGACAACTTGTATGGAATCAGCTTGTACCGAGTTAGCTTGTACCGAGTCAGCTTGTGATGGGTGTGTGTTAGTACCGAGTTGTTTGCTTGTGAGGGTGTATGCTTGTACAGACTGAGCTTATGAGGGTGTTTGCTTCATAAGAGTCAGCCTTTCAAGAGGTGTGTCTGTACAGAGTCGGCCTTTTTAATCTTTGCTGTGGTATAATCAACTTCTAGAGGGTTTGCATGTACCGAGTCAGCTTCTGAGAGCTGCGTGCTTGTACATCACCAGTTTCTGCTCATGCTCTAGTTTTATCCTCCTCTTGAAGATTCACCTGACTTTTCTCCTGGATGTTTCCCAGGTGCTTCTCAACCCCCGAGCCACCTACACCAACCTCAACCGCGTCGCTTTTGCTCTCGAGAAGGTGCGACTTGTCCTTCTACTCGTCGTTGCCACGGACCCTTCCCAGTCCCTCTTTTCCTCGCCATACCTCCCCTCACCTGCCCACTGCATTGGGGTTTCTCCTCGTGCAACCTTCGCCCTCTCTGTTCCTTCCTTTTTGCACCCACAATGTGTACTCCTCTGCTCCCCCTTCCCTCATCCCACATCTCCTCACCCCTCTCTCTCCGTCACTCCTTCTCTGTCCCCCACTCTCCCTGTCCTCCTTTCCCACCTTCCCTCCGCCCCTTCCCCCTGCAGCTGCTCCTGGTGACCTCTTCCGCCCCTCCCCCCACAGCCCCGTTCCCCGCCCTCCCCCTCCCCCCCGCCCATCTCCACCGCCTCTACCGCACCTCCCCTTCCTCCCCCCCCTCCTCCCTCCCTCCTCCTTCCCAAACCTCCCCACCGCCCTCAAAACCCCAGCTTCCCAACCAGGGAGGGAGGGCAAGGCAAGAGGGGGGAGCAGCAGGACAGGCTGGGGAGGGTGCGGAAGGGGGTGGAGGGAAGAGAGACGAGGAGGAGGCAGGGGAGGGGGGAAGGGCAGCAATGGAGACAGACGAGAGGGGGGGTGAGGGCAGGTCAGGTTCACCTGACATTGCCCCGCACTCGCCTGAGTTTGCAGGATTCTTTCGAGAAGTGGTGGTGGAGCAAGCAGCCATGGAACTGGGTGGGGCCGCTGGGGGTGCTGGGGTGGGTGGCGCGGCGGGTGCTGGGGCGGGTGCTGTGACGGCAGAGGGCGGGGGAAGGAGCAGTGGGGGAGCTCGGGATGAAGGGGTGGGTAGTGGCACTGCTGGTGACGGTAGTGGTGGGAGCAGCGGTGGGAATGGCGGTGGCGAGGGAAGCGGGGGGGGCGATGCGGGCAGCAGGGGGAGAGGAGCGAGTGGTGGTGATGGTAGGGAGGTTAGGGTGCAAGTGGGGAGGATGGACGAGGGGAAGGACGAGGATGGGGAGAAGGAGGACCAGGAGGGGTGGGTCTGGAAGCGGTGCTCGGGAGAAGGGCGAGTGGGGGAGTGAGAGAGTGAGGGAGGGAGGGGAGGAGGAGGAGGAGGAGGAGGAGGCGAGCAAATGGCTGGTGGATAACCCCCCTCCTGTTGCCTTTGGGCCTGTGTCACCCACGAGGGAGGAAAGCAGGGAGGGGAGGAGGGAGGAGGGAAGGGAGGAGGGAAGGGAGGAGGTGAGGGAGGAAGAGAAGGGGGATGAGGAGATGAAGGGGGAAGGAGGGGGTGACATGAAAGTTGAAAGAGGGGGTGATATTCGAGTGGAGTGTGAGGAGAAGGCTGTAGAGGGGGAGGAGGATGGAGATGGTGGAAGTGGGGAGGGTGATGGGGAGGACTCTACAGGACAAGGCCAAGGGAAGAAGGGAGGAGGGGAGGGTGAGCGGATGAGTGTAGATCAGGAGAATAATGGGTAAAGGGATGGTGCTGACTGAATCTCCTAGAAAATGCCGCACATGGGATACCTGTTGGGCTGAGAAAAGCCCTTAGGATCTTTGCAGGACTAAACTCTTGGTAGAAATGATGGAATAGCGGAAGCGTTTTAATTGAAGTCTTTGAACCACCTTGCGCTGGTATGTGAGGGCAAAGTAGATTGATTAAAACAAAGAGATACAAGGTTTAATAAGAGTACAAGGAATATGAAAGGATGCAACTAATAACTATTTTACTGTTGCTGTTGCGGTTCGATACAGTGACGACTCGGGCAACTGCTGAGTAGCGAGTCAGTTGTTTGTCCTTGCTGTCGCGCTGTACTTGTCAGGTCAAAGGTCGCTGACCTTTGACTTTCGCACAGGCCCCCAGACAGGGCTCATGTTATCATTGTAATTTACCCTTCTACACTGATTACAAGGGTGAAATTTTGGGTCTACACTGATGTGCTGGGGTAATTTTTTGATGAGTTAGTGTTACACTGATCAGTAAGTGTATCGATGTAGGCCACACTGATGCCTTGGGGTAAAGTTTCCCTTAGCGAAGATAACACTGAAGTGAAGAGCGTACACAGACCCCCACACCCACCCACCCCCCCCCCCCCCCCCCCCCCCCCCCCACAAACAATCGGTCGGGGGGGAGGGGAGGCGAAATTCTCGCCAATTTCGTAAGTCCTCCCCTTCCCCCCCGCCCCTCACAATCGGTAGAGGGGGAGGGCAAGCGAAATTGCCGCCAATTTCGTAAGTCCTCCCCTTCCCCCCCGCCCCTCACAAACAATCGATCGAGGGGGAAGGGGAGGCGAAATTGTCGCCAATTTCGTAAGTCCTCCCTGTCAGAACATTATGCTCTAGCCTGCAGTGGGGTGCTCTATAGCGAGTACAACCCTTCTAGGGTTAGCTATTTGTACCACCATTGTTGCTAGTGCAAACCCTCTTTCTGTTTCTAAACTTTGCCTACTACTTCTGACATGCTATCAGAGCAGGTCGACCCTCCTGGGTCGATCCTGTGGGTGGGCCCGCCACCTAATGCTTCCGCTGCTGTCCTGCTTATCGCGCGCCTCGGGCGCGCGACGTTTTCTGCCTACTGCGCGCTCGCAAGGCGCGGCGTTTTTAGGGTTTCGGCGGTTTTCATCCCGCCGTGCGCTCGGGGCGCGCGGCGGTTTTCTGCCCGCCGTGCGCCCCGAGGCGCGCGGCGGTTTCCCACCGTCGAAGTGCCCCCCGTCGCCCGTCGAAGCGCCCTCCCCCCGTCGCCCGTCGAAGCGCCCCCGTCGCCCGTCGGAGCGCCCCCCGTCGCCCGCCAAAACGCCCCCGTCGCCCGTCGAAGCGCCCCTGGGACCCGCGCGCGGCCCGTACGGGCTGCGCCAGGCCCGCGCGCGGCCCGTACGGGCTGCGCCAGGCCCGCGCGCGGCCCGTACAGCCCGCGCGCGGCCCGTACGGGCGGCGCCAGGCCCGCGCGCGGCCCGTACGGGCTGCGCCAGGCCAGCGCGCGGCGCGGGCAGCCTGCGCGCGCCTCGTCCGTCCCCCTCTCGCCGTCCCCCGCGCTCCTGCCCCTATCCCACCCGTTTTAGGGTTTGGGGATGTGGAGTGTGGGGGTGGCGGGTGTGGGGGTGCCGGTTGTGTGCCCCGTCCCCTCCTTCTCCTCCTCCTCCGTCTCCCGCTGCTGCAGCTGCCGCTCAGGGGGGTGGTTGTGTGGGGAGCCGAAGGAGTGGTCCTAGGGGGGTGAAGGGGGAGTGGAGCTAGGGGCGCAGCAGGGGGTGTGTGTCGAGGGGTGTGGGACTGTTGGGGGAGGTTGAGGGGAGGTTGCCGTCGTGTCGTACGCAGCGCCTGTACTCCGGGGCACTCATTCCCGGTAGCTCAGAGAGCCGGTTGCGCCGTCGCCTGTGGGTCCGTTGCTCCTGCCGCGCATATTAGCCGCGGAGCCTGTTACTCCTGTACTCCGGGGCACTCATTCCCGGTAGCCACGTTGTCGCACCAGAGCCGTCTGTTGCCCGTGTGTCTGCATCTTCAGTCGTCGCCTCCTATCTACTCTCCTCTCACCAGCCCTCCTCCTCCTCACTTGCCCCCTGTGACTGCCTCTAGCTTTGCTCATAATTGTGAACCTTAAACTATTGCTTCTTGCTTGTGCTCAGAATGTGTGGTGACATCGTGATCCACCCTGAGCTTGTACTACTTTGCTTGCTGTGCTGATTACACCCCACTTTGGCTATGTGGGTGTGTCAGAACATTATGCTCTAGCCTGCAGTGGGGTGCTCTATAGCGAGTACAACCCTTCTAGGGTTAGCTATTTGTACCACCATTGTTGCTAGTGCAAACCCTCTTTCTGTTTCTAAACTTTGCCTACTACTTCTGACACTCCCCTTCCCCCCCGCCCCTCATAAGGATGTGTTGCAATTGCCGGTGCACTGCATCGGCACGGGACATTTGGAAGGCTCCAGGCAGGCGGGAGGCCGAATTCGGGCAGTAATTCGGCAACGAAAATCTTTACGACAATGATTTGAAGAGTAACTTAATAATGTTCAACTATAAAGTTTTCGCGCGTTTTGTAAACGAATTTACGGCCTCGTGCTGCCTTGGAGCCTTTCTGAACCCGTGCCCCGAGCCGAGCCGATGCAGTGCACCGCGAATTGCAACACGTCCTAAACAAACAGTCGAGGTGGGAGGGGACCTGGGAGGCAGATAACTTTCTCGCCACCTGTCGTACACTTTACACATGATGTGTCAGTGCTTGGAAAAAAACCACGCTGATGATGCAGGGTAAAAATTTCAAAACCTGATGTTACACTGCTCTATCAGTGTAATGGAAAAGTACACACTGCCCATAAGGGTTTTTGAAAAAGCTACACTGCCAATCGTGAGTAGGCCAAATCCAAACCTGAGCCCCGCCCCCAGAAGTCAGAAAATTTTATCTGATTTGCATGAAAAACTCTGATTTCCAGACTTTTTTTAAGTGCAACTCTCAAAGTTCAGAATTTTTAATGTCCTCAACTCTGAAAGTTCAGAGTTTTTTATGGCCTCAAATCTGAAAGTTCAGAGTTTTTTTTTCTAGTGTACTCTGTTTGAACAGACTAGAAACGCGTACCGACTCTGATTCAATGTACCTCTTTAGCTACAAGAAGCGCAAGCCGCAGAGCAACGCTGCAATCGATGCAGCAAGGGAACTTGGCAGGCAGGGCACTGATCCAGCAGATCGGATGGACGTAGTCGACTTAGGAGATGATAATGATGCTCTTGAATTTGATGACGATGACTGAGTACTTCTACGGTAGTTTTTAGAACAGGCTAGTAGATTATTGTAGTTAGCAGTAGTAGTAGTACTGTAGTGTAGTAATAGTAGGTAGCTTTTTGTTATTAGTAGTAGATTGGTTGGATTGGATGCATGCTGTCCCGTCCCGTGCAATGTTAATGAGTGAAGCATGAACCCTAGACAGCAAAATCACAATCAGATTAACGTCAATTGGTAACTCTGAATAATCAGAGTTTTTATTACTGAGACTCTGATTTTTCAGACTTTACTTCTTAACAGACTCTGATAGCACAGACAACAATTCCGTACCAAGTCTGAACCCTCAGACGGCCCCAATAACGAATCTGAGGCCCTGCTTTCGCATAACCTCCAGCAGTTGCTCAACCTCCGAGGGTTGACTCGCCAGGATATGCCTCGCTTTGTTTCGCTTCGTTTATGACTTAGCGTTTCGACACGACAGAGGCGCTTAAATCACTTGTTTCCAACAATACCGTCATACCCCGGATATAAGCGCCACCCTCGGATAAGCGCCTGGCGCTTTTAATTGGCGCATGGCGCTTATATCCGCTGCTCGATTATAAGCGCACCCCCTGAAGAAAACTTGTTTTATTATAAGCGCACGTAAACTTTAATTTTTGAAATGTGTTCAAAACGCTGTAACGAATTTTACTTTAGCAGGCGGATGTCTCCAGATTTCGGTTACCTTCACATTCGGACCCTGCACTGGATGCGGGTCCAGTCAGCAGGAGCTGTCAGGAGCTGTCAGAAGCTGTCAGGAGCTGTCAGATTTGGTGTATTTCCCAGTGCGCGCGAGATTTTCACAGACGACCCCATGTAACTTCGACTCGATTGAAAAGGCAAGCACGAGATCTACAGCTTGGTGTTAAAAAATACATAAACTATATATTGTCAGAATGTTATATTGTCTACAACCCAATCTAGGGTTTGCTATTTGTACTCAACTGCCTGCTAGTTCAAACCCTCTTTCTGTTTCTAAACTTTGCCTACTACTTCTGACATGCTATCAGAGCAGGTCGACCCCCTTGGGTCGATCCTGTGGGTGGGCCCACCACCTAACTGCTTCCGCTGCTGTTATGCTTCTCGCGCGCCTCGGGCGTGCGTCGTCTTCTTCCTGCCGCGCGCTCCGCGCGGCGAAATTTTTTTTTAGGGTTTTCATCCCGCCGTGCGCTCGGGGCGCGCGGCGGTTTTCTGCCCGCCGTGCGCCCCGAGGCGCACGGCGGTTTCCTATCGGTGGTCGCGTCGCCCCGCCACCCCGTCGCGCCGCCCTGGGGAGCCGCGCGCGACCCCCCGCTGCCCCGTCGACAGTCGCGTCGACCAGCTGGAGCCGCGCGCGGCTCCCGATTCCCCGTCGCGCCGTCCTGGGGAGCCGCGCGCGACCCCCCGCTGCCCCTTCGCGGCGCCCTGGGGAGCCGCGCGCGGCCCCTCGCTGCCCCGTGGTGGCGCCCTGGGGGCCGCGCGCCGTCCCCCTCGCCGTCCCCCGCGCTCCTTCCCCCGTTCCGCCCGTTTTAGGGTTTGGGGGTGGGGAGTGTGGGGGTGGCGGTTGTGGGGGTGCCGGTTGTGTGCCCCGTCCCCTCCTCCTCCTCCTCCTTCGTCTCCCGCTGCTGCAGCTGCCGCTCAGGGGGGTGGTTGTGTGGGGAGCCGAAGGAGTGGTGCTAGGGGGGTGAAGGGGGAGTGGAGCTAGGGGCGCAGCAGGGGGTGTGTGTCGAGGGGTGTGGGACTGTTG